GTGCCCCTTTAAGGGCTCCAGGGCCGGGAAGGGGGCAGAAGAGTTTCCATGGTGGTGCCCAGAGTGGCCACCAGGACAAGCTGGGGAGGGCTAGCCTACCACTAGTTCGAATTAAGGGGCTACACACCCCTTAATTCAAACTAGTTAATTCGAACTAGTCGTTAGTCCTCGTGGAATGAGGTTTACCTAGTTCGAATTAAGCGCACCGCTAGTTCGAATTAAGTTCAAACTAGCAGTTTGCATGTGTAGCACCTATCAAAGTTAATTTGAACTAACGTCTCTTAGTTCGAATTAACTTTGTAGTGTAGACATACCCCCTCTGACCCTGATTCCTGCATCCCCCATGCACTCAGCCCCCACCCTGAGCCTGTCCTTAAGGACCTGAGCAACACCAGAGAAATGTACTAGTTTAAACATAATTTGCTGATGCTATATGGAACTTTAAGCCACCTGGCTCAGTCCTGGGCCCCTAAACAAGTGCCCAGTGGTCCTCTTTAAACCCAGGTCCTGAGTACAGGATGGGGCAGTCAATCAAAGACTGTCTTGGACCTTAGGTGCACCCAGAGTAGTGTAGGGCTGGCAGGTAAGCAAACAGCAATCTACAGTCTCCGCTGGCCCGGGCCCTAGTGCACAGCAGGGCAGACAAACAAACAGCAGTCCACTGGCAGGAGAGGGAGAGACTGCCACTCCACCACATCCCAGCCCAGGGTCCTAGCAGCAGCAGTTCTGGCTGCCACTGGGGTCAGCGGGGCTCCAGCCCGCAACATGCTGACATGCTCTAAAATACAATATAATCAGCCTGACTGTTGTCAGCTCCCCTGGACCATTTCCTAACTCCCCCTTGGCACCTACCTAGCTCCCCTGTTGCTGCAGGTTCTCAGGTCATCGGAGTCTGAACCCTCCGGCAGGGCTACAAAAGTCAGAACAAACTGACAAGGAGAAGAAACCCTCAAAATCGCACCTAGAGGTATTAGTAGGATATGGAAATATTCCCTCTGTCCAGCTCACTTCCGTGGCAACCACACAAACCTTGCCATTAAAAGAGTGTTGGATGCCCTTGTTTCAATCAACCAACCAACCAACCATACCAGATAACAAACAATCCCAAAGGCCTTCCCTAATTGAAACACCTCCAACTAAAACTAGTCCCCCCTATGGCCTAGGCACTGTCTGGTTTACCAAGTTCTTCAATCCAGGAACATGCCTCCACAAATCTCCATTACTGGAGAAATAAATAAACTGGCCATCTCTTACTCAAGGTGTGATACTACCTATCTGCTATACAATCAGTTATATAAGAAACGACACATACGAGCAACAAAACCTCACTTCGAGAAACCAGACTTATTTCGACTTAGCTAAAGTAGCCCCTTGGGGTATGTTTACACTGCAATAAAACACTGGGTGTGGCGGGTCCATTTCAGTTGACTTGTGCACATGAGACTCAGGCTGTGGAGTTGTAAAAATTCAGTGGAGATGTTCAGGCTTGGGTGGGAGTCTAGGCTGTGGGACCTTCCCCTTTGCAGAGTCCCCAGAGTTTGAGTTTCAGCCCAAGGCTGAATTTTGACACCCTAGTTTTACAGCCCCTCTGCCTAAGCACCAACTCAGGCCAGTTGGGGGGTATTTAACTGCTGTGTATTTATATTTGATCTGAGGAAGTGGGTCTGGCCCACGAAAGCTCATCATCTAATAAACCATTTTGTTAGTCTTTAAAGTGCTACTTAGTCCTGCATTTTGTATTTATACACTTAGCCTTTTGACAGATCACCTGCTAGAGGTGCTCTCACACACATACAGCCGGTACCTCTCGCCTAGCTATCAGCAGAATGGCCTTTGGTTTCCTAGTCCAAACACTGCTTGTCTCTTGCTGTCAGAGAGAATTAGATAAAGAACTAAATATAAACCTCAGTTCTTACTCCCCCAATGAAACTGAAAACACATTTTATTCCTGCGGGTGTACTCAAACCCTTTGCCCAGTTATTTGCTACCAAACAGCCAAGTGGTTTCCCTCACCAGTCCTGTACAAGATCTTAGCAACCCATACGTTCATCTGCTTTTGGATTAAAAAGTGGCTCAGTCCCTTCATACTGAAAATCTCCTTTGTTAACCCGGCTTCTCCTTTTATTTCCTGTTCATAATCAGCCTCAGCTGGGCCCCTTCAGTATTACGTTTTGGACAGTTTCTGCAGGAGAGGGATTTTTGTCTTCTCTGGTCCCAGTATAGCGTATTAACCTCTTCATGTCCCAAAAAAGTGTGGGCACAGCCACACCGTCTTGAATTAGAACAGATTTAGCAATTACAGCATTTTTCTTTCCAAAATAGCTTTCAAAAGCTAAATACAGCTCCCATAGCAACAAACAAGTTCTGATTATAGCTGGGCTGAGTTCGTGAGAGAGCACATCCTCCAGTGATTCACAGCTCTAGAGAGGAGGAAGGATGCTTTCACAGAAACAAGGACCTGTGAACTTCCCAATCAGCTCTCCTTGACACCAGGAGGAAGAAGAGGCAGAAATGAAACT